ACAATAACTGAACTGTAACTCGGTGTATTAATTAACATGGCAGGCCTAAATGTAACAAAAGTAGAGTCATTTCAAACTTTCCAAACTGTCAGCGCTACAATCCCGAAGCTAATGTGAAATAATTGCTGTCTGTGTTTACCATTTGGGCCGCTCCGTGTGCACAGAACAGGGCCTTGATTGCCACTCCATTTTGTCCTCTGGCTGGTGCAGATGTCAGATAACTGCTCCTGTCTGCAGCTCTGACCTTATCACCCCCACTGCACACACACACGAACACAAAAATACACACACCTTTCTGCAGCCTTTGTGTTAGGTTACAATGGGTGACAATGCATCCAATTTAACAGACAAACTTCATAGGTCCAAGAAGGAAGTAGTAGTAGTAGCAGTAGTAGTTGTAGTACACCAGTTCTTATAAAGAGATAATAAACAATGTAGGCTTAAACGCAAATCTTTGTAAAACTTAGTAGTAGTAGTAGTAGTAGTATTAGTATTAGTAGTAGGAGTAGTAGTAGTAGTAGTATTAGCAGCAAAAGCGGTAGTAGTAGTAATACACTCAGTTCTTACTAAGAGATAATAAAATAAACAATTTAAGCTTTAACGCAGATCTTTATAGAACTTTGTAGTAGTAGTAGTGGTAGTGGTAGTAGTTGTAGTAGTAATAGTAGTAGTAGGAGTAGTAGTAGTAGCAGCAACAGCAGTAGTAGCAGTACACTCAATTCTTACTAAGAGATAATAAACAATTTAAGCTTAAACGCAGATCTTTGTAGAACTTTGTAGGAGTAGTAGTACTTGTTTTGTGAGTCTTCAAGTCCCAAATCAAAGACAGGAAAGTCCAAATCAAGTCCAAGTCGTCTGCTTTGAGCTTCAAGTCATTTCTTTAAACCAAAGCACCAAATATAACTTATATTTTGACAATTTATATGAATTTTAAACTACAATTGTACTTGAAAAGTCATGGTAAATTTATATATGAGTATTTCCTTTTTAAATGTCTTGACGAGATCTTAGTGTGAATCATTACGGTCATTTTAAAATGCTAAATAATTATTTTGTCATGTAGTCTGCACTGAAAAGGAAGGATCGTGTTCTGTGTAGTTCCCTCTGTTTTACTGTATATTACTGTATCTTTCTGTAGTACATTTGAGAATACCACATCACAGTCCTTCAGTTACATCCAAAATAACAAACAGAGAAGTAGGAGAGACATGCTCCAGTTTGTTTCTGTAAAATTAAGCACCACATTTATCAACTGTGAAGAGAAAAGTATTTTCTAAAAACATATGTTTTTCAGGAGAAGCATCAAGTTTTCTCAAGTCGCAGGCCTCAAGTCTGAGTCAAGTCCAAAATCTTAGTCCATTTTATCAAGTCAAGTCTCAAGTCCTAAAAATAGTAACTCAAGTCTAACTCGAGTCCAAGTCACGACTTGCAAGTCCTCACTTCCGATAGTACTACTAGTAGTAGGAAATACTGTAGAAAACCAATAACTTACTGACAAAGAGTAAATAGTCATCCATCCAATTCAGGCTTAGACAAACTTTATGGATCCAATGGGGAAATTACTTAACAGTAATAGTAGTAGTAGTAGTAGTAGTAGTAGTAGTAGTCATTCATCCAGTTAACTTAACTTTATGGATCAAATTTTATGGACTTGATAGGTAGCAGTAGTAGTAGTAGTAGTAGTAGTAGTAGTAGTAGAAGAAGACAGAGAATAAAACTAATTCTTATCAAGAAAAAGAAAATAGTCATGAGAATAGGAATAATATTACAGGATACTAATATATAAGCATATAACCATGTAAAATTGAATAAAATCTATATGCGTGTCCTCCAGATATTTAGAAATTCTTGGGGTAAAAAAAAAAAAAATTGAAATTAAACTTTCTAAACTTGTAAAATCTGCCCTACATAACCTCAGGAAAACATGAAAAGCACAAATATTATAGAATTATGCGTAAAATGACATTTCTAACAGCTTATACTTCAGTCTTCTCTCAAACATTAAAGGTGCATTATGTAACTTTCCTGGTGACTGTCTATTGGCACCGTGTCTCTTTCCGTGGATAAAAACAAGAGATGTTTAATGCTATGCTGTGGAACATTCCTGGCGATCCAATAATAGTTCCATTGTGTGTTGTTAGTGTTAATGTGAAATTATTGTAGCAGGATGGCAATATACATGTCCCAGTAAAACGTTAATATTTGTGCATTTCTGGGTTTACATATACACTGGAAAATTATCACATTAAACTTTCAAACTCAAATTATTTACAAGAATGAAGCGGTTATTTTAACATATTACAGTTATAATTAGGGAAAGAAACTAATCTTGTTTTGTGGAAAATTTAGCAATAATAATGACTTAATTATTATAATGAAGTTAATGAACCTTCACTCATGGGTAATAATATGCATAAAATGATGATTAAATTTCACATTTTGTCTTACTATTACTACCATATATAAATAATAATATAAATGTATGACAGAAATATATGACAGAATCTATTGATCTGACCAGTAGTAGTAGTAGTAGTAGTAGAAGTAGTAGTAGCAGCAGTAGTACTTGTTGGAGTAGCTGAAAAATGCAGTACAAACCCCATTCTTAAGATAAAATAAACAATTTAAGATTAGAAACAATGCAATCTTTATAGAACTTAATAGATCTAAGACTTAAGTTACTACTACTACACTTTGACTAAAAGTAGCAGTATTAGTAGTAGTCGTAGTAGTTGAAAAAATTACAAATAAAAAAGAAAAATGCAATTTAGGCTTAGACAAATGATGAATTAAAGAGGGCGAAAACTAGCAGCAGTAGTAATAGTTAGTGGCTGAAAAATAAATGTATAGATCTGAGTTAGTTGTGGTGGAAGTTACTAGCCGTAGTAATAGTAGTAATAGTAGTAGCACTAGCAGTAGCAGCAGCAATAGTAGTAGTAGCAGTAGCTGTAGCAGTAGCAGTTGTAGTACTAGTAGCAGTAGTAGTAATAGTAGTGGCTGAAAAATAAATTTATAGATCTGAGTTAGTTGTGGTAGAAGTTACTAGTAGCAGCAGCAGCAGCAGCAGTAGTAGTAGTAGTAGTAATAGCAGACGTAACAGTAGCAGCAGCAGTAGTAGTAGTAGTAGTAGTAATAGCAGACGTAACAGTAGCAGCAGCAGTAGTAGTAGTAGTAGTAGTACTAGTAGTAGTAGTAGCAGTAGTTATAGTAGTACTAGTAGCAGAAGTAGCAGCAGCAGCAGTAGTAGAAGCAGCAGTAGCAGTAGCAGTAGCAGTAGTAGTAGTAGTAGTAGTAGTAGTAGTAGTAGTAGCAGTAGCAGTAGCAGCAGTAGTAGTAGTAGTAGTAGTAGTAGTAGTAGAAGCAGCAGCAGCAGCAGCAGCAGTAGTAGTAGTAGTAGTAGTTATAGCAGTACTAGCAGCAGCAGCAGCAGTAGTACTAGTAGTAGTAGTAGTAGTAGTAGTAGTAGCAGAAGTAGCAGCAGCAGCAGCAGTAGTAGTAGTAGTAGTAGTAGTAGCAGAAGTAGTGGTAGCAGCAGCAGCAGTAGTAGTAGTAGTAGCAGTAGTAGTAGCAGAAGCAGTGGTAGCAGTAGTAGTAGTAGTAGTAGTAGTAGTAGTAGTAGTAGTAGAAGAAGTAGTGGTAGCAGCAGCAGTAGTAGTAGTAGTAGTAGTAGTAGTAGTAGTAGCAGCAGTAGTAGCAGCAGTAGTAGTAGCAGCAGTAGTAGCGGCAGTAGTAGTAGCAGTAGTAGTAGTAGTAGTAGTAGTAGTAGTAGTAGCAGAAGTAGTGGTAGCAGCAGCAGCAGTAGTAGTAGTAGTAGCAGTAGTAGCAGCAGTAGTAGTAGTAGTAAAATGATGATATTACAAAATTCATATTGAAGATAACTTTATTAAACCCAGTAGGCAAACGGATCATCTTCATGAATCATTAACTGTTCAGAAATGGAAACGCGTTATCAAAGTGGAAACGATGAATCCAGTGAATGAGCGAATGAATAATGTACCTGTGTGTGATTGTTCAAGTGTATTGAAAACGAGACACATTAAAAAGCTCAAGATCAGTGGCTCAGACGGTTCAGAATGACAGTTTAGTAACAGCTAACAACAGAAAATGGATTTATCTTATTTTAATTAAGATCGACTTTGATTGATTCACAAGGAAAATTACTGGATCATTGCGACTCAATGCGCAAGTTAACAACCTCAATTACTCACCAACACTCACACACACAAATCATATTCATACTAGACAGTGTGGGTGAAGTGTCTAGCCTAAGGACACAAGATAAATTTCTGTCCGTGGTGCTCCCCCTGTGGTACTTGGCGTTCTCAAAGGTCTCCCATCCAAGTACTGACCAGGCCCCACCTTGGTTTAGCTTCTGAAATCGGCTCACACCAGATTGACTTGTATGTCACTCTGAATTGAGTTGTGCACATTATTAATTTGGAACGGCTCTCTCTGAACATGATCAGAAAACACTGAGCACTTTGATGAATATTTCAATCAACCAAGCCGAAAAAAATCAAACTTTTGTTACGTCTGCTGAGAGAAAAGCACAGACATCTCCCCTGTTCAGAAATGCTCAAAATGTTTTTTCATAAACTAAATTGTCTTTATTGACGGGAAAATAGTCTGAGGTTGGTCTGTCGGTGTCGCCATGTTTGTTTTGGTTCATTTGGACGCTTCATTTTTGACTTTAAGACAAACCTCAGTGTTGCAAGATGATCAGTCGCCCATGTGTTATGTGCTTCAGCGGGGGGCCAACATAGATTCTCCTGAGTTTGTGAACTTACAAGCATCGCGAGAATCAATCTTGCTGTATGAGGTTATAGCCACAAATAAAAAAAATGACATTTTTCTTTAATATAAGCCAGTAGGGGTTGACAAAGAGACCAACCCTAAGTGAATAATAATAGCTTTGATCTCCAGCTAAAACCATTAACCCCATTTATTCAAACAAATCCATCTTTTTTATTAAGAGTCTCGTTTCCTGTGTTTGTCTTCAGATGGCCTGAACGCGTTCCGTAGCTTCCTGCAGTCGGAGTTCAGTGATGAGAACATAGAGTTCTGGGTGGCCTGTGAGGACTTCAAGAAGACCAAGAACCCAGTCAAGATGGCCACCAAAGCCAAGAAGATCTACGAGGACTTCATCCAGTCTGAGGGGCCCAGAGAGGTGAGGCGGTGAGCTGTTTCAGATTGGTGAAGATATTGGCTGTGTTCCTCTGCAGTAATCAGATTTAAACTTCATACCATAGACAACCATGTTTTACTGCTTAATAAGGTTTGTCTATAGAATGGAAACAAATGATTTAGCCTTATTTTTTGGCATGTGACAAGAGCGAGTAGCAGAGGTGGGGACTTGCAAATTGAGACTTGAACTGGAGTCAGACTTGAGTCACTATTTTTAGGACATAAGACTTGAATTGATGATATGGACTAAGACTTGGGACTCAACTTGGACTTGAAGGTCAATGACTTGGGACTTGATTCAGACTTGAGCACTGTGACTTGAGAAGACTTGATGTGTCTCCTAAAAAAACACATCTTTTCTCTTTACAGTTGATAAATGTGGTGCTTAATTTTACAGGAACAAACTGGAACATGTCCCTCCCACTTCTGTTTGGTACTTTGGATGTAACTGATGTACTGTGATGTGGTATTCTCAAATGTAGTACAGTAATATACAGTACAATACAGTACAACAGAGGGAACTACATAGAACACGATCCTTTGATCCATGATCCCCATTTCAGTGCAGTCTACATGACAAAATAACTGTTATTAAACACTTTTAAATCTGAATGATTTCTATTCTGACCATAATAATTCACACTAAGATCTTGTCAATACATTAAAGAACAAAAAATGTAAATTTCTACAACTCTTAGATAAATATTCATATGATTTTTAAGTTAGATTTTACAAAAAAATCATGGTAGATTTATATATAAATTGCAAAAAAATCTAAGATATATTTGGTATTTTGGTTTAAAGACTTGAAATGACTTGAAGCTCAAAGCAGACGACTTGTACTTGACTTGGACTTATGGGCCAGTGACTCGAGACTCAACTTGGACTTGCCTGTCTTTGACTTGACTTGGACTTGAGGTCAGAGACTTGAGACTTACTTGAGACTCGCAAAACAACGACTTGTTCCCACCTCTGACCAGTAGTGCAAAGAAACACAATCTATGCTTTAGACAACTTTACAGCTTTACAACATTCTGAATTCTGACTCTCGAGAGCTTTAAGCAATGTTCTAATGACGTTACCTTCCCAAAAATATACATGGAGTTGTGTTTTGTTTCATTCACACATGTTTGAGTAACCTCCAAAGCTCAAAATACTCCGTTCCACTTTGTGAAGTCATGAGGCGGTAGTTTTCAAGTTAGTAGCTCTTTCTTTTTATTTAATAGAGCTTGGAAATTCCAGAGAATAAATGATCCAAATGATTCTAGTGAAGGTGAACAAAAGGTATGCAGCTATCTTTGTGATCTTTGTGATGAAATTTGACTCCATCGGTCGCTGATTAGCCAAATCTGCGTCTTAAAATACCGCTGTTCTTTTATACGACATAATTAGAAGTTGTTTAAATCCCAGCACCATACAGCAGAGATAAGGGCTGGTCTGATAACGGAACAGTGTACACATATTTCCTTTGGAGTTTACATTTGTTTACATTAGCAACCAGATCCAATATGGCCGTAGATTGTGTGTGGGTCATGTGTCTGGTATGAGCCAATGATGCATGTTTTGGGGCTGATGGGAAAAAACAGAGTGTTCAGAGGAAACCCACCCAGACACAGGAAGAAACACGCAAACGCCACACAGAAAGCAGAAAAGTGTCTGGAAGTAGAAGATATGGGTACTTCTAAAGAATATGACCATAAAATGTTGTGTTAGAATGTTCATTAAAAACATACTTCAAGAAAAATAATAAAATAAAATAATGAGGTTTTCATTAGAATGGGAAGAACAAGACAAATTAACTGACCAAAATATGTCCACAATAACTTTTTGAGGCTTATACGATAGAGCTTGAAAGTTACTGTTTCTACTGATACTTTCCAAAAATTCCTTGGGGGTGTGAAGCCAACTGTAGGCCCTGCTCAGTCTGAGACTTTAAGGTTAAGGTTAAGGTTTAAGGTTTAAGGTTTAAGGTTAGGTTAAGGTTAAGGGTTAAGGTTAGGTTAAGGTTTAAGGTTTAAGGTTAAGGTTAAGGTTAAGGTTAGGTTAAGGTTTAAGGTTAAGGTTAAGGTTTAAGATTAGGTTAGGTTAAGGTTTAAGGTTTAAGGTTAGGTTAAGGTTAAGGTTTAAGGGTTTAAGATTAGGTTAGGTTAAGGTTTAAGGTTAAGAGTTAAGGTTTAAGGGTTTAAGAGGTTAGGTTAAGGTTTAAGTTTTAAGGTTAAGGGTTAAGTTTGTATGGAGGATATATATTTTTTTGTTTGTTTCAAATTGTCATTGAAAGTTCAAAGTAGCGGTGGAAACTCATTTCAGCCGCTTGTATCCGCGATCTCGTCATTTCGGTCATTACCCAAAACTCATGACCATAGGTGAGGGTAGGAACGTAGATTGAGCGGTAAATCGAGAACTGAGCCGAAAGGTAAAGCTTCCTCTCTTCACCACAACGGATCGATACAGCGACTGCATCACTGCAGACACTGCACCGGTCCGCCTGTCAATCTCACACTCCGCCCTCCCCTCACTCGTGAACAAGACCCCGAGATACTTAAACTCATCCACTTGAGGCAGGAACTCTCCACCCACCCGTAAAAGGCAAGCCACCTTTGTCCGAACTGTAGCTTCCTTGCAGTTAGCACAAAGTTTCCTGCAATGGCCAACAAGAATCTACTGCCGCAAAAGAAAGTTTTTGAGGTCACTGAAAGAAGAAGAGAAGGGGAAAAGGCGAGAAGCCAAACTAAGGTGATTCCTGGAAATTCCTTTCAGTGATGGCGTGCACTGAAGCAGAAGAAGGGTCTAAATAAAGACTGACGCGTTGGTCGCTAAATTACTTCTGGACAGGAAACTTCAACAGCAACTCGTTCAGAAATTCTGAACATGCTCCAGCTGTAAACAAGTGTGATTTCTATCTTAAGGAGGAGGCGGGAGGTGATTTTTCTACTTAGGGAGCTGTGGATAATTTCTTTACCCTTGGAAAATCCTCTATACAAGCTTTAATCTGTGCTTTATTTTAGCACAGTCTGACGATAAAGAACAGACCTAGCTAGAACTATAACAGGTGAACTGATTTATAAAGAAATTCGTTAAAGAAATCTCTCAAACAATTACATTAACAATTAAATTAAAGTCACAAACGAGCTTGCATTAGACAACAGTTTTTCAGTCTATCATTCTCACAATTCTGTTGAAAACCAAACACCTAAACAGGACCATGATCACAGGCTCCTGAAATTGTATCAGACTATTTTCAGACTTTTTTAGGGCCTGTTTACAGGGGGTAAATATGACATTATATTTTATTGGAAGTGCCTTTCGTTTAGACAGTGACGGCGTTTGGGGGCTTAAAAACGCAAAAAACTGAAACCCCCCTCCTTGGTGGAAAAGTTGAATATGCTCTGCTGTAGCGTTTCTGTCTACACTGCCCAAGACGCAAAACTCTGGTCAGATCTGCTCACGTTGCGTATGCGTTTACACACACATAGACTTTTGCGTTACTGTATGCACGCAGATTTCCTCCCAAAAACACTCTAACGCTAAAAACGGAATAAAAAGTGAAGATGTGACACCACTTTTGCGTCTTCTGTTGAGACTGTCATCATATAAACGTAACCTTAGTCTGTGTTTGCTAATGTCTGCATTGTTTCACTATGAATATCCTAAACATTGCACCATTAGAGATACATGTAGAACACCCCCAGCATGATGTTACTGCAAAGTATCAATAATCTGTAGATATTCACAGGCCCTATATTACGCAAAATGGACTCTTGTGAGCTGTAAGCCATGTTAGAATGTTGTTACCTCCTCAAAAACAAACCTGGGCACTTTTATTATTAGTCTGCCTGCATCTCCAAACCTCAAAATGCTCTGTTCCACTTTGAGATGTCAAGAAGCGGTAGTTTTTAAGTCAACAGCTGTGGCAATTCCAGGGCTGAAATCTTTAAAACAATTCTAATAAAGATGTTTGCAGTTTAAAAAGCACAGTGGAGCACTTCCTCTAGCACCCCATAACATGACAAGGTGGAGGAGTATTTTAAGTTTGAGAGAAGATTTATGCGTTAAACATGTGAATGAAACAAAACACAACTCCAGGTATGTTTGTGATGAGGAAAGACAGATCAGAAAATAGCCAAATATGGGCTCTACAATCAAAAAAACAGTACCTAGCTTAAGTTTGTGCATAAAATTTACACGCAATTGTCAGTTCTAATATTTCACTCGTAGCATTGTCCATGTATAGCAACCCACAGAGCCTGATGAAGTCTTTGTTAGTGGGAGCAGACAGCCCTGAGTCTAACACTGACCAGAGACGAGACAGGCTCTATTCATTTCCCTGGGTTTGCTTCTGTTAGGAGCCTTCAGACACTGTGCAGGTCTGAAGGTGCTGTCTTGCAACCAGCGTTTGTGTATTTTTATCTGCTTTTTAAGTCGTTCTGAGAGGTTTGGCAAAGTTTTATCTGGTTCTGGTTCTTATCTGTTCAAAATGTGAGCTTTAAAAGTCTTATATTATGCAAAATTGACTCTTGTGAGCTTTTAGTCATGTTAGAATGTTGTTATCTCATCAAAAACAAACTGTATTTTTCGGACTATAAGTCACTCCAGAGTATAAGTCGCACTTTTTGGGGGAAATCATAAAATCAGAGACCAGGAACCGACATTTCATAGGCGTTAATATGTTAAAGTAACATATTAATAATTATTCAGAAAACTATAGCATAAACAACATAACATAAGTTTACCAAACTCTTGCTCTCACTCCAAATCACTAAATCCATTGAATCCATTGAATTCTTCATTTTTGGTGTCACTTCTGAGCAACTTGGTGCAACTTCGGTTGTCAATGAAGTCCAGGCTTTGTTGATCCATCCAGTGACTTCCAGGAAAGTTGCATGGTGCACCCGCCCGGTTGTTGTGAAGCTGTGTTCTCCATCCCCGCTTTCAGCCAGTCCCTCACAAGTTTCTCGCTCACGCCAAACTTTCTTTCTGCTACTCGATTACAGTTTTCTGCTGCATATTTCACTATTTGCAGCAGGACAGTGGCTTTTTCTGCAGGAGACATGCGCAGAAAACTGACACAGAAGTCTCAAGCCTCGTGCGGTTGTCAGTCAGAAAATGTTACTATATAAGTCGCACCGGAGTATAAGTCACAGGACCACCCAAACCATGAAAAAAGTGAGGCTTATAGTCCGAAAAATACAGTACCTGGAATTGTGTGTAGTTTTGTTCACACGTTTGATTAATCGTGCATTATTAGTCTGTTTAGCTCTAAATGTTCTGTTCCACCTTGTGATGTCATGAAGCGGCAGTTTTCAAGTTAACTGTTCAGCAGAGACTGGAAATTCCAGGGCTGACATCATCCAAGTGATTCTAGTGAAGGTGTATAGAGTTTAAAAACGCAGTGGAGCACTTCTCAACAGAATATAACTTTTAACAATACACAATAATCAACATTTAACAAATTACAATAATCAACATAAAAAACAAAACACAAAAACGTAAAGCAACACCCACAACAAATACACGACACAAATTTGGTTAAATAAAACAAAAGTAACGTGGTAGTGCTGCATAAACACACCGCTTACATTGATATATTTTGGCCAATTTATGATTGAAATTCCTTTTCTTTCTCTTTCTTCTCTCTTTCTTTTTTTTTTCCTTTTCTCCCATTTTTAAATAAACATTTTTAGTCCCTGTATTATTTTCATCATCATCATTTCCTTTCATCATCTTTTACTATTTATTACAATCTTAATGCATATTTTTAAAGGCATTTTCTTTTTCTAATTATTATCATTATTATCAGTAGTAGTACTAGTAGTAGTTCAAAATAAAACACAACTCCAGGAAACACTTAACATATTTAGATCACTATTTCACCTTTTATTGTTTTGAAAATGCAATATTCACGCTCGTTTCTGAAGCTCTGAGACAAGCCGCGCTAAGTCACTCCCCCTTCGGAACGGCATCACAACACCATCAATCTCGCTAATGAAACTACTGGACAAGTTGTTGTGCACAGTTTCGCATCCTGCTTTTGTATATTTATGGAGAATTGCCATGTGGGAGCAGGGGTGACGTCGACTCTTACAGTTAACAGAGCCCTGGAGAGATTGCACAATTACCGAAATATGCTTGAACGACATCTAAAACCCCTTCAGGCGTGTTTTTGATCGAGGAACAATGTTATATAGCCCTTTTTATAATCAGGTTATGTACAATTTTCATTTCAAATTGAACATACGGTGACTTATCCACGTGGCAAGACATGATGTGAACATGTGCACATCAAATATAGTTTTACTGATAACAACAGCTCATGTATTCTTAATTACAAAAACCCTGGACATGATGACTACTGGCTAAGTTTGTGTTTTGATTCTCTGATTATCCAGAAATCAGTAGAATGAGCCAGGTCCTACAACTAAAACCAGTAAACCTAAAAGGATTCTGTCTGCTCTCTAACCCCAGTGCCTGATTACAGTTAATTGCAGCTTCAGTTTCTTACTTATGATGCTCCAAATTGGTCTGTTTACACTAGGGATGTAACATTAACCGAAATATCGTGATTTCGTATCGTCAAAGCTCTCACAATAATATCGTGGACCTTCGCAATATATCGGATTAAATTAAATTAAGAGTTAAGGTGCAGAAATAGCTAAAAAAAAAAAAAAAAAAAGACAGAGGGAACTACACAGACCATGAACCTTTGCTCCATTTCAGTGCTGACTAGAGGTCTGCCCGGGACAAAATTTTCAGTCCTGCTCCAGCCCGCTCCTGCAAAGAATTGTAATTTTCAGTCCCGCATCTGCGATATTTTGTCCCGCTCCTGCCCTCAAGTCCCAAAGGATGGGAATGTTCGCTTTCTTAAGCACTATCAAACACGGAGAAGCGGAAAGGAATTGGGCTGCGTATGGGAGGAGGCGCGGTGGGCGGGCCGGCGGCATGGTTAAGTCCTGGCTAAATCCTGTTTAAGTCCTAGTTTTAGATCTGTTTGTAGACCTGGTTTAGTCCTGCTTTAGTTCTGGTTTAGTGGCGCAGCCCGTGCAGCGTACTGGATGGGGAACAGTCCATGCGGTGTAGGGGAGGGGGGACGATCTGCTGCTTAAAATGTTTTCATCAATGCCAAATAAATGTATGATACGCACACATTAATCATTTGTATATTTTACTTTGCTCTCATACTTAGTTTGCGGGACTGCAGTTTATCATCCCACCCCTCCCGTTTTGCATCAGGCCCGCGGGATTGCAGAAAATTGCTGAGAAAAAAGTATCATATTAACAGTTTTGTTTTTGCCTCCACAAATATCACAATAAACATCGTACCGTGAGGTTCATACCGTGATGATATCGTATCGTGAGATTTGGATATTGTTACACCCCTAGTACACGTACATGTCTTCACTTTTATAACATTTGATGTCAGACTACTTCTAAACAATCCACTCAATATTAGGCTGAAGAAGAATCGTCAGGTCCAGCAGGAGCAGGTGCAGCTGAGCCTGTCACTCACTGTCTCAGTGGAGTTTTCACAGTGGAGTCTGTGCTCTGGACAGAGTGGCTCATAGCCTTTGTGCTCCATTTGACATTACTCACAGAATGACACTTTTATTAAGCACAGGAGAGACATCGTTCAGTATAAAAACAAACCGTGAATCAAAAGCAGAGCATTGTCAAACATCTTTCATAAAACTGACTGCAGGCATCACAGAAACTATCCCAAATGCAGACGGATGTGCAGAGGGAGGCTCTGAGCATGTGTGTGTACGATTGAAAGCACATGGTATCAAATGAATCAGCAGATCAATTAATTGTATTGAAGTCATATTGTGCTTGTATCTATAGAGTTCTCATCTATGACGTCTGTGGGTCATTATGTTACCATTTATCACAACAAAGAGCCCTACAGCTGTTGGCACTTCCCATGAACAGCTGCACATCACAGTAGAGAGTGCACATACTCTCAGCCCTAACCAAACCCTTATTGCATTGTTTGCCAAAGACTGGGTCGCAAGAGATATTTTTTTGGGGTCGGCTTTACACAATCTGCATGTAGGTCTGCAACATACACATACATACATCTCTGCGCATGCCCCTGCCCCTCACATTTTCGGCAGCACCGTCTTGCCTAACCAATTTTCTGTGGGAAACATTGATTACTGTTTTTCCTTGTTTAAAACTTTTGTACCGTATTTGTTGGACTATAAGGTGCACTTAAAATCCCTTAAATTTTCTGAAGAATCAACAGTGCACAAGGAGCAAGCAGTTTTTTTGTTTTGTTTGTTTTGTTTTTTAATCGCTTACAGTTTATGCAAATTAGCCATGTGGTTTTAAGTTTTGTTTCTGTAAAACGTAAACAAATGTACGCAAAGCTGTTAATGAGTCATGAAGATTTGTGACTTCTTCTTGTGACGTCTCCAGAAAAGAAGTTTGGGATACACTGCCTTACTGCCATTGTAGCTCTGTATTGTATTCTATTAGCCAGGCTGGCGCCACCCAGTGCCTCCGTTCAATTTCATTTCTCTCTAACGACTAGGTCAGGAATCAAAATACAATAGACGATTTGCAAAAACCCCAGAAGTGCGAGTTCAGGCTCCAGTCAATATATAGCCATATATTCAATGTTGTCAACGATTCCCGAGATCGAGGATTTAAAGCCGGAACAAGAGAATGTTTGGTGAATTTTATCAAGGGGAAAGACGTTATTGTCCTTCTTCTTATGGGATTTGGGAAAAGCTTAATATACGAGTTAACCCCGTTAGCGACGCATTACATACGTCACAACCAAATAGCAGCGATTGGTTAAATGATAAAAAGTACCCGCCTACCATCGAGAGAACGAATTCTAACACTGCGAGGTCAGACGTTTGTATGAAGTGAAACGAAGTAAAACCGGATGACAAATCAGGCTAGTATTCTATAGGCATACGAAAAAACAAACAAAACAAACAAAATCGGTTTACTCACACATATGTCTTGATTCTTAGGTGAACATCGACCACTTCACCAAGGACGTGACCCTGAGGAACCTGGTGGACCTCTCCCCCTCCACCTTCGACCTGGCCCAGAAGAGGATCTACGCCCTGATGGAGAAAGACTCCTTCAGCCGCTTCCTGCGCTCCGACTACTTCCAGGACCTGCTCGTCGTCTAAACACCTCAGCTCAGCACGGCGTCCTCCAGGGGGCGCTGTGGTAGAGCGGGGAGGGCGGGGCCAAGGCATTTTAAAGAGGCTACATACTAGGAAATGTTCTTGAATACAGTTTTATGATGGTAATGTCATATCTGAAAATCAAACATGTTGTAGCCTCTTTAAAACGATCCAAACGAAAGTCCACACATATACTGACTTTTCAAGGTGGTTACCAGTTTAATATCCATGTCTGAGTAATAATTGAAATGAATTAAAGTAATATGACATTGGAAACTATCTCTTACCTCAAAGTAAACCGGAATTTGACAGAAATACAAAATTCAACTTCAATGCAGAAGTGATTTAAAATACAGAATGATTTCCATGTTTATATGTGTGGACTTGTAACTTTTGGAAACTGATTATTTTTAATTTTTTTTACATAAATTCTCACAAAATTTGAAATAGGCCCCATCCTCCCCGCCACAAAACAGAATATTTTAAAATGCCAAAAAAAAAATTGAAAAAATTAAAAATGGAAAAATGGAAACATCTGATGTACTGACAAACTGGGCTGTAAAAATAAACAACTTGGTTTGGACTATTAAAAATTAAAAAGAAAAAAAAAAATGTAAACACTGATTGTGCAGTCCAGGGCACGAAATGTAGAATTGCGATATGATTGGAAATTCGTTTTGACAATTTGAATTAAAATGAATCATTTGGTATATAATATTTTCTAAAAACATGAGGCAGATTATTTTCGGCGCCCCCTGTCCATTCGATTATATGTTTAAACCAAATTCTCAAATGTTTTTTTTATACAAACAAGCCTCTCGGGAGGGAATAAGAAAGACAAGGAAACTCATTTTGACAAGAGAAATAAAGAAAACTAAATATTATTGAAGTAAATGGTCTAAAATTTGCCTAGTTTTGAAGATATTTGTCATAAATTGTGACGGAGTTAAAAGTTATGGAGATGACTTCATATGAGTAATATTGCTTTGGCTATAAATAATTACACACATACACATAAAAATAGTCAATTTTCGTAAATCAAAAGACAGATTTGCTGAAAACTCAAACACTTTTTTCCCCAGTTGAACGTGAATTTAATTTTGAACATTTTGAAACTCGCTGAAGCTATTATTTTGGTCATCAAGACCTAACTTTTTATGTTTTTTACTTTTTTGAGACATATTTTTGCTTTGTTTGTTTTTATGACACTGTTTGGTTTTTTTTGTTTATTTTTTATCTTCACCAAATCAGCCCTTGTTAACGTTCTATGTATTCTATTTTAAAGTTATTTTTTTTTTATTTTACTTTTTTTTTTTTTTTTGCATTGCCACAAAACCTGGAACGACCCTCTATCGTACAAGAAAACGCCAATAAAAATGTCATTATAACTTCCATTGTCGTAATCAATTGGCTTTGCTTCATTCAAACTCTTCATCAAACATTGTTATTGCTCACGGTGCAAAGGAAGTATTAAAACCCTTTCAAAATAAAACATAATCCAGGTTTTGGAATTGAACCCTTTCACGTTGTAATCCCTTTGTGGTTTATGAATCAGATTAAAAACATACACGTTTGTTATGACTGGAAATTTGACCTCGAAGTTGACCAATGGGCGACATCTGTTTGGAATTACGCAAATCGGCCAGAGCGACTGAACTCTCCTTGTATGTATTTTATAACTTTAGCACAGTATACACGCATGTTACACGCTCTAAAGGGACACTGTGGAACTTTTCGGGTCTACCAGCTGCTTATCTCCGATCACTTCTCTTGAATGTTCCACATACGAGCTTTAAAGAGCCCATTTTACACTATTTTCTGATCTTTGTTATAACGTTTTCTCATCACAAACACATCGAGAGTTGTGTTTGCCTCTGCCTTGTGATGTCATGCTGGTAATACAGGAAGTGCTCCACTGCGTTTTTAAACTCCACACGCCTTCACTAGAATAATTTTAATGATTTTTTTCAGCTCTGGAATTGCAAATCCCTACTGAACACGGGAAAAGACCAAATCTAGTCAGGTTAAGATGATGTGAATTAAGAAAGATTTATAATGATTTGAGTCAATTTCACTTGACAAGTAAAATTATCTGTCAGTGGAATAAGACTTTTTGTATTTATACATTTTGCTAAACTTAAAATAGGAAAAACAACAACTTTTTGCACTTACAATACGAAACTAAATCGAATGTTGCTTGAATTAAAAAAACACACTTTCTCCATTGGTCAATAATTTTGCTCATCAAGTTGAATCTGCTCAAATAAAGTAAAATATTCTTAATTTAAGTCATTTGAACCTACCTAGATATTGTTTTTTTTCCAGCGAATTTAAGGTAAAATGTATCGGTTCACTTGAAAGCTGCCACTTCATGACATCACAAGGTGGAACGGAGCATTTTAAACTTTAGAGATGTAAAACCAACAAACAAAACACAACTCTGGGCATGTTTTTGAAGAAGTAACGACATTATAACATGACGTAAAGCTCACAAGTCCATTTTGTGTAATATAACATCTTTAAACGTATCTGTCGCCATGGAAACAAGCAACTACCCACAACTGTACGAATGCAGGTTTTACAATGCAAGATTGATTAGCTTAACGCAACACAACACTATCTCCATGGAGACAAGCCGGTGACAGACCCACCACCAGAAAAGTTACACAATGCACCTTTAGCGTTATTTTCATTTCGGGCATTTTCTATCATTTTTTTGACTGAGTTTTCTGATTTTTTGCCAATCCCGAGAGCTGATATTAGTGAACTGCGTATTCGTGGTAGAAGTATTGTAGTACTTTGCCACTATACCGCTACAGTAAGTCGCTAAGATGGGAATTTTAAGTTGGAGAGGATTTAAACGAAGACGTGATTATTTGGTTGTCTGATTTTTGACCAGTGAAAAGGTCTTATCCCCATGTGACCAAAGCCAAAGGTCAATGTTGTATTTAAAAGCATGGGAGAGAAAGAAAGCGGGTGGGCGGGCAGAAGACGATGCCAAAATAAGACCAAGGCCGTGCTAATGGAGTATACACAATACAATTCAAAATATGTCACTTACTACTTATATAATCGTAATATTCTGTTTGAATGTTTGGTTTGAAATGTTGTGCAATGTTCTGTATAGAGCGGGCAACCCAGTGTTAGATTTTCTTTTTTTTTTTTTTTTTTTTTTTTGACTGAAAATTTTAATTGGAATGTTTTTATGTTGCTTTTTTTTTTTTTTTAACATTTTGAATTTTATGTTGATAGTTTTTGTTTACGTTGTTTTATTTTTATTTATTTTTTTTACTTTTTTATGTGGCATGTTTAATAAAATAATAATAATAATAATAATAAAAAACTAAATTTTATGAAATCCTACAATAATTTGATAATCTCCAAACTCACCGTATCTTCCACTTAATTTTTTTTTTTCCCAAAATACATATTGCATTTCAAATACATTTTTAATTTTTATTTTAGATTATATATTTTTTAAGGATTTTTATTTTATTTTTTTTTCCTTTTTAAGATTACAAGAAACTTTTTTTTTTTATTATTAAAAACATTTGATCCTGGTAAATCTTACAAACAACTTTTTTGCTTCAAATAAAAAAAATAAAAAATAAATAAATCATCACAAAATTCCCAGATTCACCTTATTTTTCCTTTTTTTTTTTTTTTTTCCATTTTTTTTTTTTTTTTTTTGGAGACTGGGTTGTTTCCTACTTCAATGGATGTAGTTACGATAAGTGTTATTATTCCCTACACATTTACTGAACGCTTGTATCATATCCACTTATATAAAAAACATATATATATATATTTATATATATATTACAGTTATCACTATGGAGAGAGCTTTGAATGGAAAGGCCCGACTGTGGCACAGACCGACCAGTCTGGAGTCACGACAAAATGGCCGCCACATGTTTGTACTGTGTTGTATTGGCTTTGGAGTGCTCTCTATAAAACTTCTATATTCATACGAATGTTGGATATATGTATTTATTTAATGTGTAAATGGTGAAGTGAAAGTTTAAGTTATTATTGATGAGTGGGCTGGGAGGGCGCAGGGATTGTGTACCTCATGGATCTCTACTGTCTCTTTGTTTTCTATTAAACATTAAGTGTCTAAGAGAATGTGCTTTATGCATTTAAGCGGGATTTCATGATGCGGTTTATTGGTTTACGCAAAACAGTTATTATTAAATGGTTCAAGTACATGCTGTAACATTGTGGAGGTGGCAAGACCTGCATGACTCCACGCAAGTAGAAAATTAAAACCACACTTCAGAACATTGCCCATGGAGACAGATTTATTTAGAAGACGTACTGTTAAATATTATAGCTGAAGGAACAACATTTCCATAAAAACAAGCAGAAGAAGGTCCTCCTCCAAGACAAATAAGAAAAGATGAGGAGAGTAGCACAACCAAAATGAAAACAAAACAAACAAACTAAACAAAAACAAATAAAAGACACACAGCTTTTATTGTAGTTATTTTATGGCTACACACTGTGGCTTTAATTTAAGGAAATGTTGTGGCTGTAGTATTCCGAATTGCTAGCCAGGCTGGAGCCACCTAGTGTCTCTGCTCAATTTAATTTTTCTCCAGCGACTAGGTCAGGAATAAAAATAGAATACACGGTTTGCAAGAACCCTGGAAGTGCAAGTTCGGGCACCAGTCAATCAGCAAAGAGCCATACATTCTGTGTTGGCAACGATTCCCGAGATCGAGATTTAAAGCCGGAACAAAGAGAATGTTTGGTGAATTTTATCAAGGGGAAAGACGTTATTGCCCTTCTTCCTACTGGATTTGAGAAAATCTTAATATACCAGTTAGCCCCGTTAGTGGCGCATTACATACATCACGACCAAATAGCAGTGATTGGTTAAATAAAAAAAGTACCCTCCTTCCATCGAGTGAACGAAATCCTAATGTTGTGAGGTCAGACAGTTTCTACGAAGTGAAACCGAATTGCATATCTCCATGGAGAATGTTCCAAAGTATGGTTTTAATTTTCTGTTTCTATAGAATCATGCAGGTGACGTGCCACCTCCAGAAACAAGAGAAACAAATGAACAATGAAGCAAAACATTGTTATATTAAACAACCTTATATTTATGTTTTAGGTTCTTTTTTCAGACCAAGAGTTTGTGTTCATACCTGACAGTTTCGACTGCTCACTAGCGATCTTCCTCAGAGGGGTCACGTGATGTTGCCGTGACATGTCCGGTCATCTGATTTATACTGGTTTTGGTGCAAAATAGAACCAGATCACACATTATAATGTCATATACGAAATACCCTGCATGTTTTACAATAAAACATACATCGGTGAAACAGGGAGAGTGTTCAATACAGGAAAAAAGAAACAGCAAACACGTGCACATGAGCAACAAAACACAAAGCAGAACAGGAACGACTCAAATGAGCCATTTCTGAGCAAAATAACAGAGAGAACCACGTTATGGACTACATAATACAAACATCATTGGGAACACAGCTGGATTAAAAAGGCAATTGAAAGACGGAAACATGCCCACGGGACTATAAACCGGGACGAAGGGGCTTTTTTACTCTGACACACCTGGGATAGTGTCCTGAGGAAGTGGGACTGCAGATGGCCCTGTTCTACCTTCTCCGGTAGGATGACAGTGCCAAAACCTGTTTAAACCAGCTGAGCGACACGTGACAGCAACATCACGTGACTCTGAGGAAGACCGTAAGTGAGAAGTCAGAACTGTCATGTATGAAAACAAACACTTGGTCTGAAAAAAGAACCTAATAACATAAATCATCAGAAGACCAAATGAACCTCAGTGGACTATTCAACAACCTCATAAAACAGAACAACATTCAGACTTACATAAGACATCACATATTTCCACACGGTGTAAAGATGGAATCGTTTGAACACTTTGAAAAGTAAATGGAGTGAAAATCCATCAGAGCTGCTTACATTACACTGAAAACTCAACAGCCCGTAGAAAATAACATCTCTGGTAAAAAATATCCTGGTCCTAGTCAAAACATAAATACAGCAGGAATTCCTCTTTTTCTAGGTGAATTATGTAACCTTTCTCCCCTGCCGCCATGGAGATGTTATCACTTTGGAATGTCCCACAGTGATATTAATTGCTCAAATGTCATGCGTTCTCTCGGTGAGCAGAATCGCCTCTGAGCAGAACCTCGTTTGACCACCTGCTTATCTCAATGGAAATACATGAGTTTATGAACAATCAGTGGAGTGGAGGAAGACGCTGGATGGATCATGGGGAAGTGTAGGTTTAATCCACAGTGGCTCTTAGGCTACGTTCAGACTGCAGCCTGAAGTGACCCAAATCCGATTTTTTGGCCCCTATGTGACCTGTGTCTGATCTTTTAATGACAGTCTGAACGACACA